CTCAGGCCATGCCAGCGCCGTGGTGCCCAGCACCTGCGGCCACCAGCCCCGCTCCAGGTACCTCGGGAGCACTTGACGGTGGCTTCACTGCGAAGTACATCACCCTTGGGGGGCAAAAAACCCAACCCTGGATGCGGCTCAGCCCCACCAGCTCCTCGGTGCTGTGCCCAGGGGATGCCGGAGGGGGCTCGGCTCAGCCCTGGACACTGCAGCCAGTGTGTCCCCGGGGCTGTGGCCATGGCTGCTCCTTGCCGGGGCAGGAGCTGATCCCATACTGGCCCCCCTGGCTGGGGCAGCCCCAGCTGTGCAGCATCTTGTAAGGAAATTAACTTTTCACTGATCTCCCGGCTTTGAGCAGGGGATTAGAGCCCACACGCGCCATGGTCGGGCTCTCCCCTCTTTCCGAGGCCTTTTTGGGACTGCCATAGCAGGGAGGGACAACTGCCCTTGCTGGGCCGGTCCCATCTTCTCCCAACTGGACTTGGTTCTTGGCTCCATTTCGGCTGCCCGGAGCTGGACTCGTCGTTGGCACCCGCGTCTCCTTTTATAATTAGCTAATGACAGCAGGGGCGTCCGGGGGAGGACCGAGCAGCAAGGCTGTCCCCAGGGACACCATCACTTCGTCATACAGCATCCTGCCCGTGCACCGGCAGAGCCACCTGCCCGGACACCCATGGGTGTCCCTCTTCCCACCTACCTCCATCCATCCCACCCTGGACCTGCTAGGAGGGCTCCGACAGGCAGATTTGGGGTATAATATTGTCTCTGGCAACCAGAAAATCAAGGAAACAACCCTGTGAGCTGCAGAGCCAGGAGTACCGCAGTAATAAACAGCAGGTCGAGGCTGGAGATTGGTGCTGCCGGTATGAAAAGGACAGGCGGGTTCGGAGCCTCCGCCGGCTAATTAAGCAGCAGCTCCCTATAATGCAAAGGCCTTTTCTTTGCCGATAAGACCCATTTATAATGGGCTGAGCGGTCGCAGGCTGAGTGCTGGGGGGAAACAATTGGAAAGCACATTGCTGGTGGGGCTGGATTTTAAAAATAGACATGAAGGGCTTGCTTCTGGGCTTTTTTTTTTTCCCTTTTTTTTTTTTTTTTTCTCCTTCTTCTTTTGACAGGGGATGGAAAGAGACAGGAAGAGGTTCTCTGAAAAACAAAATCCTTCTAGACTTAGAAAGAAGTCAAGAAGTCATTTCTGCCCCCACCTTGTTTAAGGAATGCTTCAAAGCAGGGAGGATGGCATTGGATTGGGCTCAGAGCCGAGCAGTCCCCAGGGATGGATGGGGAAACTATCCCGAGGGAGGGGAACAGGGCTGCACACGCTGCCCTTGCCATGGCCACGCGTTGGCGTTGGGATGGGAGCAGGGGGAAGCATGTGCCCGCTTCTCCTCATGCCTCCCAGGCTGCGCTGGGCTCCAGCCAGCCCCCTGCAAACCGCAGCGGCCGAGGGGGCACTCACAGCCCAGCCCTGGCACCGCTCCCCAGTCCCACTTCACCCAGGACTGGCTTCATGGGGAAAAGCCTCGAAAAATCCCTCCACAAGGATGGGAGGAAAATCATATGGGAAATGTGGCCGGTGAGCGACCTGATCCTGCCACCACTCAGGGCCCGGCCCCGCTGGGTTAACCGTGCGGGTTAACACACAGGGCTGCTGCCAGCGGATAATTCCCGGGGCCGATACGCTGGCACTTGGATGCCAGCCCAGGAGATAGGGTCTGGGAGGGAGGCCAGGACACCCGGGTCCCAGCCCCGGAGATAGGGTGCTAGGCTGGGAGCCAGGACTCCTGCCTTCTCCTTCCCTTTGCTTCCAGTTGTTTCTCCTCCGTCCTGCCACTCCGGGAGCTGCCGGCAGCAGGGTGCAGCCCCTTGCTCAGGCCAAGCCCCCATTAATACAATCTAAAGACCCACAGGTTGAAAAAAGGAGATAATTCATATTTTTAACCTCTAGTGAGCACCCGATCTGCATTCCCCCCGCCCCTGGGAGCCCTGGCTGCTGCTGATTTGCAGCATCAAGCACTAAATATTTATTTAACTTCCTGCAGTATTAGAACTAATCACTAGTATTTTCCATCAAAGCTTCATTTTCATCTTAACGTAATTCCGTCTGTGCACGCACAGCCGCTTGGAAGGCCATCGCCTGCACCCGCTTTCAGCAGAGACGGGGCGTCTGTCTCATCTCCTTTAGGAGCACAGACCTGGACACCCGCGTCCCAGCCCGGCATGTCCATGGGCTTCCCATGGGATCCTCACTCATGATGCAGGGATCCCATAAGCGATGCCCTTGCTTGCTGTGGGAGCTCTGAGCCATCCCCAAGGGCTCACAAATGACTCGATTCCCAAATAATCTGCTCGAGGTCCCAACACCCTCCGTGCCCCATCACACAGAGACAGCTCCATCCTGCCAGGAGCCACCATAGACTTGCCCTCGGCAAAGCCCTGGGTCTGGGTGCAATCCCAATGCTGTGGTCCACCAGACCCTCTTTGCCTCCCACCACCAACAGCCCGAATCCCAGGCAGGTGACACTTCCCACCACTGGATCACCCCAAAAAGCGACTCTTACTGTCTTTGCGGTAGTAGAGGATCTCAAGCTTGCACTCCTCGGAGCCGAGCAGGGCCTGGGTGAGCTGCGCGATGGAGCTCTTGGTGGTGTCGGGACCGGTGAGGAAGTCGCAGGTGCAGGGTTGCTGCATCACCTCCATGCGGGAGTAGCCGAACATCTCGCAGAAGCCGTCGTTGCAGTAGATGATGGCGCAGTTCTCCATCTGGGCGTTGGCAATGAGAAACTTGCGGTCTGCGGGGATGCGGGAGAGCGCGAGGTTTAGGGGGTTGGTGGAGACCCGCAGGGATGGGGGACAGTCTGGGTGGATGGGGGGGCGCTTGGGCTTTTTGATGCCACCATGGGGCTTGTGCAGGGATGGCTTCCCTGGGGACACTGGTAACAGGGCTGGGGGCAGGATGGCTGGTGCCAGGCCACACCACCCTGGGTGCTGCCCTGCTCTTCAGAGGGAAAAAAATCCCCCAATTTCATGTGAATTGGTGACAGTGGGGACAGGGGGACCCGAAGCATGGGTCCCCAGTAAAGGCAGTTTTTTGCTGGGGTGGGCCAACCCACACAGCCTCGATGTCTCACCGCTCGCATGTAGGGACTCGCTGCTGTCTAATACGTGGGCAATCTGTCTCCGACGGGCGCTGCAGGCAGAGGGAAGAGCTGCAGCATCCGTCCCTCCCCAGGAGCTTATCAGGGACCTGAGTTATCTCAGAGACTTCCCACCCTTGCTCAGATTTGACTGAAGTCAGCCAAGGGGTGAGAGGAGGAGTGAGCGTGAGGCTTGGCTTCGTGGGAAGCTGCATGAAACCCGTCACACAAATGATTCTCCTAATGTTTTATCAAATAACTGTGCCTTCAGGCTGAAGCTGAAATCCAGTCCCTGCTGGGCTGCATGGCCCCTGTGCTCAAGAAGAAAAGGGCTCAGGTGGAGGAAAGGGGAAACTGAGGCAGGGAGAGGTGCTGCATCATCCCCTCCTGGTGCTGCAGCCACCTGGGCTGGGCTGGGGCCGGACTCGCTGTCGTGCCGGGGTGTATAGCAGCACTTCCCAGCCCACATTGTCCAGCCCAGAAGGAGCTGCTTCCACCCTTATCCTGGGGGAGACCCAGCCTAGAGCTTTGATTTGGTTGGATTTTTGGGTTTGGGTTTTTTTTTTTCCAAGGAGAACAGGGGGCACTGGGCTGGGGAGGGCCCTCTCTGGGACAGGTTTGCTGCAATGTGATGGGGGGCTGCGGATGCTGATGCGACGGATGCCGTGCCCCACCCATCACCATCTCCCTCAGCGTTTGGCATCGGCTCCAGGCTGGAGCTGGAGACAGGTCAGAGCAGAGGGTCCGTTTGGAGGCTGCCTCCAAACCCAGACCCCAATTAATCTCCTGGATTACCCAGGAATGGCATCTGCAGCCTGCGCTCTCCAGAGCCCCACTGAGCTCCAGCCTTGTGGGGAATTTCACCCAAACGTGGGAGAAACCTCCGCATGGCTGCGGCACCCAGCCCCTGGACATGGTGGGGTGGGGGGACCCCTCCCTGGCACATTAAGTCTCTCCCTAATGTCACCTGCAGAGTCCCAGCTCTGGAGGGTGCCTTCCAGTAAAACCAGTGACCCCAGGGATGCTGCACCGACGTCTTCTGCTTCATCCCACCCTGTGACAGCCCTTGGTGGCCCTTTGTGGGGGACTCCCACCCCAGCACCTTTCCCTCTCCCACGCAGGGCTGACACTGGTGCCGGTGCTGCAAACAGCACAAACCACCATGGCCAAATATTTCCCAGTTCCCTCTTCCTGATCTTTCTCTACCCAAATTGCTCTGCCAGCTGGAAGGCAGCACCAGGAGGGGACCTTCCCCCAAAGCCCCGCTGCTGGGGCACGCTCCTGTGATAAACATTTCCCCATCCAGCACCAGCTCCATGGGCTGGATCCAGGCTGGGCTGGTGCAGGACAGGATTTATGGGGCTGGCAGGGTGCTGGAGGAAGCTGTGCTGAGCGCAGGGGATGTGACCAAGGCTGGGATGGGAAGGAGCTGCAGGGCCAGGTCTCCTTGGGGGTATTTTCACCCTAAATTTGCTCTCGGCCCTACCCTCACCTGCAGATTTGGCCTTGCCCCCGCAATACTAGCACTCTGCACCGGCCCTGGGAGGGAAGCGTTGGGCCTCTCCCTCTCCACTGGGGACTCACCGTGTGCAGCTGCACCCATGGGTGCTGCAGGTGGGGGGTGAAGTCACCCACAAGCAGGGGAGGATGCACTGCCCGTGGTAACAAACGTGACCTGGGTGGGGGGGCTGGTTTGGTGTCTCTCAACTCTGGAGTTTCACACCACAAAGCTGCCGTGGAGGAGCGCAGGGCAATGTTTTGGCAGAGCCCAGCTGGTGCCCGACATGGCTGGCAGAGCGCAGGCAGGGAGCGGGCAGGGACGAGG